ATTGTTTGCCTGTCTGCACTATGTACTAAGTCAAGCACACTCTGAAGCCCCAGAGCCCCTGGGACCAGTGTTGAGATGGGTGGGGTCAAGGGTGCTGTCAGAGGCAGAGAAACAGGGAGTTAATAGGAGGCATGGAAATCCTGTCTGTAATCTCATTTGAACTGGTTTTTACTGATCGTGCACTTTGGTCACTGAGATTGATGCCTCCCGAAAGTATTATGGGACACTATTATGGGAACCAGGATGCTCAGGGTGAGTTAAGCAGGCCAGGTTTCTACCTTGCAGGGATTTGCAATTAGTTGGTGTGAGCAGTGAGCATCATCAGTTCAGAGAGCTCTAGGGCTTTGGACTTTAGGGTTTCAACGGGAACTTTTGTTCCCAAAAGCAGGCCATTACCTTTTTCGCAGGGAGTTTTTTCCTTAATTTGAAGTGAGGATTAAAAATCTAGTATTATTTGAATCTTTCGGCTGTTGGAAGAAGCAAGCTACCTAAGATCTCCATTCTGGCTACAGGATAAAAACAATCAAGGTGATTTACTGGGCACATTTAGCGCTCATTTCACTTGCAGGAAGCTTAGGACCCCCCTGGAGGGATAAAGGATGAATATTTATTGGAGCCTAATAATAGTGGAGAAATCAAATTTTGTATTTTTTCAGTGAAAGAAATAGGGTGATATTTTTGTATTTCCCACAGGAATTTCTGTCTCAATAGGCCATTTTTATATACATATTCATAATCTACCCTGGTAATATGCTAAATACTTATAAAGGCAGCATGATCTGCCTACATTGCTATTTCTTGTATTCTAATTCCTCTAAGTGAATAATATAAAATGTAGTCTGGCTTTCAATTAGTATTACAGAACTTACCATGTCCCAGGCACTGGACTAGGCACTGGGAACACAAAGATGAACAAAAGGGGACGACTTCTGGTTGACTTGGTGGAGTCAATTCTTATAGAAAGAAGAGAGTGGAGGCATACTGCAGTGAGTTGAGGGAGAATAAGAGGAAAAGAGAAATCATTGAGTAGAAATACTTTTTCAAGTATGTAGCTAACAGGGCAGAAACAAATTCACTTCAGGATAAGGAAGTTCAAAATAAACCCCCCTCCCAGCCCCTACCCTTACCCCAGTCCTACATTCCCAGGCCCCACCTTGCTCTTTCATAGAAGAACTAACATTTGTGATACCCCTATTAAGAACCAATAGCTAAATGCCTTATATTCATTATCTCATTTCATTTTCACACTGGCCTTCTTAGAATCATTTCCCTACTTTTGCAGGTGAAAATACAGAGGCTCCAAGAGACCGAGTCACATAACCAAGAAAGGAGAAGTCATATCAGAACTCAGTATAGTCCAGTTCCAAAGCTCTTGAGATTTCACTTTTGTCAAGAACAGGAAGATTGCCTGTATTAGCAAACCAAGGTGAAAGAGATAAAGCTCAAGGGGAGATTAGAGGTAAAAAGAATGGTGAGGAGAGGAAATAATTAACGGAGCAAGGTTCATCAATTTTTCCTTCTTCTGAATCTTTAACTATTACATTTCCAAATTTTAATAAAAAGACTACTGATTCTTCTAGTTACAGGCTTATTTCTCTATTCCCCTTCAGAGCAAAACTTCTCAAAATAGTTGCCCTGTACTTATATCCTCTACTTCCTCTTGTAGAGCAAGGTAATCCATGAAAGTGAGTACAGATGAGATTATGAAGAACTATCAGGAAGCAGTAAAAAAGGCAATTAATGTTAAATAAAAACATTGCCACGCAGCTATCTTCTCGGTGGCCCAGAATGTCCACTTCAATGGCTGGAACTTACCCAAGAGAATCTCAAGATAGAAAGAGAGTTAAAATTCTGAGTTTAGAAATCACTGGCATATAGGTGACAGTGAAAGCTTGGAGCAGATGATAATTAGAGAGGTTTCAGAACAAGCTAAGGACAGACCCCAGGAAACTATCAACATTCAAATCATGCATGAAGGGATGCAAAGCCACTGTAAAGACTAAGGAAGTCTACTAGCAATAAGAGGTGAAGAAGAGAGGGGAAGCAGGGAAATCCAGGGAGAGAGATTCAAAAAGAAGGGAGGAGTCACCAGTGTTGAATACAGGAAAGAGGTCAAACAGAAGAAGAACCAATTATTTGAAGTGGTTATAAAAGAATTATGGGCTTCGTAATTATCTTGCTACTAGATGTTTACTGATTCTATTGCATTAAAACAATGCTTAGTTTACTTGTTAAACTGCTAGTCAGTAGTTTTCCAGGCAGGGCTGCACATTAGAATCCACCAGTGAGCTTTTAAAATACTGCCTGAATTTTTCCCCTGATTAATTACAGAAGAATGTCCAAGAGGTAGGCCCCTGGCATTAGTTTATTATGAAGGCCCCAGGGAATTATAATGTGCAGCCAGGACATAAAAGTACTGTGCTAGGGGAAACTGGACTTTCTACAATAACCACATGGGGAGCCTCAACAGCTGCACATACTAGGCAACACTGGCCCACACAACAGGGCAGAGGATAGAAAACTTCGGTCCTTGAAATAAGCACAACAATCTATTGAGAGGCTGGTAGACTCTGCCTCGCAGCTAAACCTAGTGATAGGATGGTCACCTTCTCTGCCAGGTACCTGCTGCCTATTTGCTACCTTGGTTTGGCAGATCCTTCAAATAAATATCCTAGTTTTAATCTCATCACTATCATCTCCATCACAGTAACATCTATTGAGCTCTTACTCTACCGGGAACTTGCTGAGAACATTACATGCATTAACTCATTTAACATGACACTCAAACGAAGTAGGTATAGTAGATACATATGACACTCATCCTTATTTCATGGGATAAAGAAACAGGCTTATAAAGTGAGCTAGAAACTAGTGGAGGAGCTAAGACTAAACCAGCTCTGGTTCACTCCAAAGCCCAAGTTCTAAACCATGTTTACATCACACAGCTCTACTCCATTGCTAGTACTGGAATCCTCTACCTGCCTGAGAATCTCCCCTCCCCCTTCTGCACCTACCACACCTCAGTTCATGCACACACACATACACGTGCACACACACACACGTAAACCCTTATGCTGGGCACCCCTATACAAGACTCATGATGGATTGTCCAAAATCCAATGGTGTCATTAAATTTCTTCTTTGGCATTACAAGTAAAGATTTGTCTTCTACCTTTGACTTTTGATACACACTGACTTCTGGTAAAGGGACTCAGAGTTCCCAAAATGTTGGTACAAATGAGAACTGACCCTTTAAAATCCATGTAAGCAGAACACCGAAATTTTAAAACAAAGATGTCAAATTGTTTTTTCCATGGCTTCCATAATTAGCTCTCAGAAAAGAAAAGCCATTCCAGAGAACAAATTAAATAGAAATGCATGAATTAACAAAATCATTCTCTATTATTGACATTACATTTCAATAAGGCATCAGTTACTACAGAGCAGGCAATCGGCTACTCCTGCATGAGGCCTTGGGTCCTTTCTACCACAAGTGCTTCCAGGTGTTTGCTGTACTTCTGCATCTAAACACACATCACAAAGAGAAACTACTTCATGGGAACACTCTGCTCTCTGTGTATTAATCTCCGACTTTGAAAGCTCCTAGAGGCAGGGGAATTTCCACAGGGGGCTGTTGGGCTTATAATTATCATCCCCTAGGGAACCAATAACCAAGCCAGCTATGGGGAGGTACACCACAGAGTCCTGTCCTGAATGTTCTGGTAAATCTATGCCTGAATGGGTGCTGTTCGTGAGGACTGGGAAGTCACCCAAACTTACTAAAGATATTGTCACATCCACCAGACTAACTTTCTTGGGATTCATCTTATACAAAATCTTTACTTGTTCAAACATGGGGCTTTGAGGGGGTTGATTTTCCTGCATCTCCTAATGAGCCACAGTGATCCAAAGTAACCATGCACTGATTTACTGATACTCTGAACAGAATGCAGAACTGAATGATCTGGAATCATCTAATCCAGTTGCTCTTTTCTTTTAACTTTTACCCCACCAACCAGGAAGATTTGATTGAGTTTTATTTTCAGTAGCTTGAACTAATCAGTATGTGTGCAGGGTGAGGGAGCTCTTCGCCCTCTTACCTCTACATTTTACAAATAGGAAATTTGATAAAATCCAATGTGTGTTTTTAGGTTACACATAATACATGTTCTTAGAAGGGATGATCTCCAGTTTTGACATGCAACCTGTGTCTTCCCCTTGGAGTCACTGATGTAGTATCCCTTTTTATTTTAAAGACAAGGAAATTACAGCCCAGAGAAGCTACAATTCCAGAGACCTGGAGATTTACACTCATGAGGACATTTAACGCCATGGCTGGGCTATATCCAAAGGACTCTATAACCCACTAAAGCTGGTCCTTTGCACTCTACCACTTTCCCATGAATGGTACCTAACCCTCAAAGTCATAATTCTCATTTTGTGTTTTAGTAAATTGATTCCTATCAATCATACAAGTTATCATAAGCCCAAACATGTGTCTAAATCCCAAAATGACAGGTATTATGGAATCACAGCTGTATCTACAGTGGGGCAAGCTATATATAAACAGCTACTTTGTTTTCATCATCATATGAGTCATTTTATCATGATGTTTTCATGGCACCCAAGCTCTACAGGAATGCTGCAACCCATCTCAGGATTCTGCCATGGTCCTTCTCTTTGCTCTTCTCTGTCTACATCTTCTCCCTTGGAGGTTTTATGTCCAACTATGGCTACATTACAAACTATGCCTATACAAACTATAGCTACATAGATAGTGGTGGTCCCCAAATCTTTGTCTCCATCTGAGCCTTTGTTCCATATTCCTTACCCATGACTACTAGATCATCTCCACCTGGAGGTGGATTCAGAAGACCCAGAATGCCAAGAGGTTATTAGTTAAGGCAACAGGTGACTCTTGTTGACACATCTCTTTCCAAAACACAATACAAGCTCAAAGTCAGCCTCATCAATTTCCCTTTTCCTCCTCACCCTCTTACCTCTGCATGTTCTGAGGGACAAGAACAGCAATGCTAAGACTTCCCTATAATCATTCCCTCAAGAGGGGGCATACGGAATGCTCCATAGAACATGGCTCTTCTTTCTGTGGGTGGGGAGAAAAGAAATGAAGAATAAAAAATAACTTAGAAATGATCAAACAGCAGCATATGTCAAACTTCTCTAAATAAAATTGACCCTTCTGAGAGTTACTCTCACTTTCACTGATTTAGTCATGCATTCATTCAATGGAAATTTACTGAGCACCTACTGTAGGCACTCATGATACAGCAGGGTGCAAAGCAGACAAAGGCCCTGCCTGGAGGAATTTGTAGTCCACAGAGTAGAGGAGCTGTGGTCTGCCAAATAGATATGATTTGTTAATTGGTATAAAACAACAGACGTGTTTAGAAAGAGTCTGTATCAATGATGAATGATGGAAACTAAGCCAAAAGAGGAGGAACAGGGTATATGGAAGGGAGTGAGGGGCAATCAATTGAATAAGGTCAGTGGATTGGACATGCCAACCTGATACATCGATGGAGTTGGGAAATTAAAGGGAATTTAGTAGTAAAATAGGAGGTGGGGCCAAAGAGTCAGATGTTGACATGGAGTGTATAGAGATGATCCATTTATGGGTCAAGATGATATCTTAGGTGTGCTATAGAAATGAGGGTAGCTAAGGCAGATAAAGGACAAGATCATGGGAAAAGATGGAAGTCAAAGAACTAACAGCTCAGGTTTTGGACACATCATCCTCATAGATATTGAAATCATCCAAAATTATAACAGAAGTAGGGCTGGAAAGAGAGAAACAGGAAAATCAGGGCCTAATCTGTGTCCTTCCATCAGAGAACTAAATAAGAGTAAGGCAAGGAGCTGGAGTCTTAAGTCTTAGTCTCTCTGGGCTTCATTTACATCATCTGAATATGAAATGGCACAAATAAATAATTTATAAGGTGACTTCCAGCTAATAGCTCTAGTTTTGAGTTACCCCAAAGGGACAAGATGGGTAGGCTGATTCAACCCTTTGGCCTACTTCTTACAGGTAAAAAAGGTCAAGTTAGCAAATGCATCAACTTATCTGCTAAACAGTATTTAAGAATTACACTGTGAATTAGATCTCCCTTTATGAGAGCCACTCTGGAGCCCTTTTTAAGTACCTTAATAACCATGTTATTAAGAAATAAAATCAGTCCTGCCACCAATCTCTCTTCTTCCCACTATGTTATTCCCACCATTTAAGAGCTGACAGAGCTCCTTTCTGACCAAGTGTGACTTTCTCAACTTGGCATTTAAGAATCTTTAGTCATTTTCAATGCACACCAAAACAGACTGATTGATTCTAATGATGCTTTACTCCCCACTGCCTCCTACCACCATACCTTCTCAAACACACATATGCTACTGATTCCCGTGGAGGACAGAGTGATAGCTGCCTAGTCCCTGCCCTTAACACAGTCCATATGTGGTCATTGATCAGTATAAGAATCACCTTGCTCACCTGCATTTGCCTATGGGCACTTTCAGATATGGGGGACAAATGGCAGCTAGTTTGAACCAATCCCCATGAATAGTGGTAGTTGGCTGTTCTGTTTTGTTTTCAGTCTCTGTGATATTGCATTTAAATTATACTGTTGTTGAAAATTAACTAACTTAAACATATATTAAAGCTGAGCAGTAACCTGATAAATGGAGAAAATGGAAACAGGTACAGATCCATATAGGACAGTCATTGGTATAAAGTAAATTCTCCCTTATAAAATTTCACAATTCCTCTGATCTGAGATTTGAAGTAGATTTTCTCATATACTTTCATCTCTCTTCTGTTCCTCTTTGTATTTATAAAAAAAGCACCAAGATCATTCAATAATGTTTTATATTATGGTGGAAATTCCCACAACTCTTAGTTTATCTGTTAAATGGTATTCAGACATGTGAAACTATTGATCAACAGATACAATTTTCAAAGGTCTTACAGTTAAAAAAAATGAAATAAAAAAATATTTTAAAGAACTATGCTCCACATTATTGTCCGCCTATTTCTCTTATAGACAACGTCATTATGACACTTTTGGTCTCTGTTGAAAATATTCATAATTTTATGACCTACTGAAATTTATAAACCTGGAGGGAATTTTTTTAAATAAATAAAGCTAAAAGTGAGGAGAATTTATTTATAGATTCACAACCTGGGTAACAATATCCACATTCAACATCATTATGATTGGAATGTGGTAAAATGAAATTCCAAAGGATCCCCATGTTCAGATGCAGTCACAGTATTTTCAGTCCTTTCCTTGAACTCAGTATGCCTAGATTTGGAGGAAGGAGCTCACCTAATACCCAGAAGACTTCACAATATGGTGTTGTTGCTCAATATTTCTTCAAACCAAAAGCATATGCCATTCAGATAAACTGATGGATCGATGGATAGGTATAGATAGATAGATAGATAGATAGATAGATAGATAGATAGATAGATAGATAGATAGATAGATAATCACCATATATCTTCTTATCTTTTAAACATACATGAAAATATCAGACACATCTTCCTCTGCTTGGATAGGGTACCCTGCTCAGCAATGGAGAAGCAGATTCCCTGGTGGTTCACATGAAAAAAAGGAGACAGGCATCAAGACCGGATCACTTCATATGGCAATCCCCAATAAAATGACAGCATAGCTGCAAAAAAAGACATACAGGTCATTTTGATGTGAAGTCCCTCATTCAGAACAAATTTAAAAACCACATATATACTGCTTTTCCTCTGAACATGCAGAACTGCTGTTTGCTGGGACCAAGCAAACTGCTTCAGGTAAGCTCAGCTACACCTACATTTGTGAATTCTATGAGCTTGTATTTATCCAGGAAAAAAGATAAACCTTTCCTTCAAATAAATGTAGTCACACGTATACATGTCACATTTTAAAGTGGATTTAGACGTTCATAGACCTGTGCCTTTAATACAGCCTAGCAGTTATTCATCATACTATTTTACATGGTTGACATCCATTTGTCTGTGGATATCAACATGAGCTCATTTGTTAGTTATATTCAGTGAGATTATGTTAGACATACTTTTCCCAATTGTTTACTTGCCTGTTAATTTTCATTATGGTTTTATATAATCATATATGAGTTTTACCCTATAGTATTTCTGAAGTTTTACTTTTTGTCTTAAAATTTTGTCATCCCAAATTAATTTTACTTAACAGTGTGTACTAGGGTTCTAATGTTATTTCTGCCAAATGGCTAAAACAGTTATTCTGAATCCTTTACTCTAGCAATCTCTCTTTTCCTCACTTACTTGAAATTCCATTTTTATCAAATACTAAATTATCTATACTGGACCCATTTCAAGGCCCTCTCTTTGAATTCTTTATTTATCCTGATGCTGGTATCTTATTAATTTTTTTAACTTTTTATCAAAGTATATATAAAAAAAGATGATAAGTATATAGCTCAACGAATTTCTAAAAACTGAGCATATTTGTAACACCAGCACCCAGACTAGAAACCAAACATCACTAGCCCCCAAGAAGCTGTCCTCGAGCACCATCTGGCACTGCCCCCAACAAACACACAGGGTGATAACCATCCTGACTTCCAACAGCAAAGGTTCATTTTACCAGTGCTCGTCCTTCATGTAAATGGAATCATGCAACAATATCAAATGATTTTCATTACTATAATTTTATAATTTTCTTAGTCCCTGTCTAGTTTCTTCATGGTCTGGCCCTGCTTTTCTTTCTGTTCTAATTTCCCACCATTCCTACCTCTACTCCCTACCTTATCTCTAAACTTTGGCGATAGAAATCTACTCACCATCCCAGACGGGGCTAGCCCCTCTTATGTCTTAGATAGGCTGTTCCCTCTGCTTGGACTGATCTTGCTCCTCTCCCTTCTGTCAAACTTCTATTCCTCCTCAGCTCACCTCCACTGGGAAAACTCTCATGACCCGTTCCCCATGCCCAGTCTAGGTGAGATGCTACTCTAGTGCATCAAACTCCCCCAGGTCTTCTATCACCTGTTCTATAACTCTGCTTATTTGGCTTCTCACCAGACCAAGATGTTCCTGAAGGTATGAAATATTTCTATTTATTTTTGTAACTTTCAGTGTCCAGCCAGCGTTTGTGAGACAATTAAGGATACCTAGCCAATTAAGTATACCTATGCCTACTTGCCAGGACTACCCGTTATTCCATATAACTATACTATTTTGATGCTAAAGAGTCTGGTCTTCCCAAAGGTCAGGGATCTAGCTCAAAATTCTGTTCCCTCTAGGTCTTCCTGTCTCGATATAATGACCTATCCATTCCCATCTATACTCCAGGATATAACACAAGTCTTCTTCCAAGATAATGTATTCTGATGGCAATAGGTCCTTAGGAATATTGGTTGTAGGATTTCACAAGGTAGGTTATGTCTCCTTCCACTCAAATGCCTGGTTCTTACAGAAAAACCCAGATGACAGGAATGTTCTCAATGAACAGGATATTCATCAAGCTTCCCTTTGGGCAATTCTTGTCACAGCAACCACATCAGGCACTTCAAGGCAGCCTCTAATGAATCTGCAAATATTTTGATGATCTAATTCTCTCTGAAAATCAATACTACAGACCAGAGAGGATTTATCTGGAACATGATCTCCTAATTCCCACTTTAAAATATGACCTGGTTTTTCTGACCACAAAAGAAACAATATCCTCCTGGATTAGCATTATGCACAAATAAAGCTTACAAATCCGCACATTGTGGCACAAAACAAAGTAATTAGGAAAACACCATCATCAGCAAAATTCAGCCTGGGCCAAGCACTTTACAACCACTATCCCTTACCTGTGCAACAGCCCTGATTGGGAGTGATGATTATCTCTAGTCTACCCGAGAAAATCTTGGCTCAGAGAGGTGAGTTAACTTGGCAAAGGTCCCCCATAAATAAAAGAGCCAGATCCTCAGTCTGATTTTGCCTAACTCCAAAATCATATAGAGTTGCTGTTTTTTTATAAAATGTCTTTATACATTTCAACATAAAATACAAGTACAAAAAGAGAGATCTTGACATTAAGAAAAGTTTCATTTTCTCAAAAATATTGCTGCTTTGGAAACAAAATCAATTTTCACAAATAATGCGGTCACCAGTTTTTTTTTGTTTTTGTTTTTGTTTTTAAGATTTATTTATTTTTATACAAGAGCTGGGGTACAGGCCAGAGGTGCAGGAGGGTGAGAGGATTCACCAGAGACAGAGCGGGGGCAGAACAGGCAGAAGGACCTAAATACACTGCTGAGGGGAGCAGCAGGCGAGACAGGAGAGGCCTGCCGCACCATGTGGGAATCTCCCTGGCCAGCCGGGAATCGAACCTGCGCTGCAGAGGCTGCAGACAGTTTCACAGCGCTGCGCTCAACCCACTGCGCCACTGGGGAGGCCCAAGCAGTCACCAGTTTTTTTTTTTTTTAAATGTTTATTTATTTATTTATACAAGCACTGGGGGTACAGTCAGAAGCGCGGGAGGGTGAGAGAATTCACCAGAGCCAGAGTGGGGAGCAGAGCAGGCAGAAGGGTCACCAGTTTTTAAGAGTCTTTGCACTCCAGCCTCTCTGTTTCTCTTTATGTTGGAATTCCCCACTCCCACTCCTGGGGAGGAAAAATTCTCTCCCCAAATCCCAGATAGGTGGTTGGCATTTTGGAATAATTACTAAATCCGCACCATCAGCATGGAGTTCACAGGTGCTGCTTGCATAAACCAGGAATTGACTTACATATTATCCATGGGGAACTTTCCAGTCATTAACACTTCTCCAATCAAAATTCCATCATTTTTCAGATCCAAGTTTGTTTACCCCATCATTAGTCCTTGGATTAGATCACAAATGAGACATTCTCCAAGAAATAACGCAATGACTGCTTTCCAAAACTGAGAGGTTGGTCAGAAGGAAAAAGAAAAATACAGATGGTTTCTCTTATAGGAGGAATTGAGGGGAACCAAATAAGACATCAAGGGGAAAAAATAATAACAATACAAAACAGAAAAAAACAAAAAAAATCCGAACAGACATTTATAAACCAGAGACATCCTGCAGGGGAGGAGGAGGGAGAGGGATCAGAGGGAGGGAGGGAGGAGCACAGGGGACTGAGGTGATGGTGCACGGGGGGCATTGGGGAAGGAAATTCTATGGGGACCACACCTGAGGTGGGGGGAAGCAAACATTGTTTAAAAACGAACAATGATGTACAAAATATATTTTAAAATATATAAAAAATAAACAAAACTGAAGTTGGTGAGGGGAGGGATAGTTATGCTTGTAGTATAGTCCCTTCTGATGGCTGAAAGGGAATCCTGCCCTCTCTCTCCTCCTCTAGGAGGGCAGAGGGAATGCTCTGGTCTCTCTTACCCCTGGCTCACTTTCCACCAAAGGGGGCCATCTGCTGCAGGAGAGCTCACACTCACCACACTGCACTTACTGGCAGGCAACACCACCAGTGTATTCCAGATGCCTCTTCTGTTTCTGCTCCATGGGGTAAGCACCCCTGGGCAGTCCCTCCTAGGGGGACAGGCCTGCCATCCTTCTTCACCTACCTACGACTAGGTGAATGAGGCTGGTGTGTAGTCCTGGCATGTGGATGATTAGATCAGAGACTTCATATCTATTTTGCAGGCTCACTGGCTTACTCACTCGTGTGTCTGAGCATGTGAATCCAATGACAGATTTGGTTGGGATGGTGGAAGCATGCAGTGCAGGTTAAGGTCAGCATTAGTTTCTCTAATCCAGCTCCTACCAAAGTTTGTTTTGAGTCTCAACTTCTCTAGTTATGAAAAAAAAGTGGTCATTTTCCTCTCTGTTATTCCTGATCTGTTTCCCAGTGATCAGAATCAGCAACATCTAAGCACCAAGAGATCTCAGAACCCAGGTTCTGAAAATATTCTCTATCCACATTAGAATGGCACCAAGTCAAAGGCACATAAAAATCCCCCTTCAGGGCCTCCCCGGTGGCGCAGCGGTTGAGCACTGGGTTGTGAAGCTGCCCGCAGCCTCTGTGGCGCCGGTTCGATCCCCGGCTGCTCCCCGGCCACTGGAGGAGGGTCCCACATGGCGCGCAGACCTCTCCTGCCGCCCGCTGCTCCCCTCAGCAGTGTACTTCGGTCCTTCTGCCTGCTCTGCTCCCCGCTCTGGCTCTGGTGAATTCTCTCACCCTCCCGCGCTTCTGACTGTACCCAGTGCATGTATAAACAAAACAAACAAACAAATAAATAAATAAATAAAGCATGCCTCTACAAAAAAAAAAAAAAATCCCCCTTCAAATACTTGAGGTATGGCATATTTTTTCTTGTTAAACTTTTTATTTTCTTACATTGTTACTCATTTTTATATACTATTTCATTTCTCCCTCCAGTTGCTTGTGCCCTGCTTTATAACCCATAATAGACCTTTTAGATGCACATGCAGTAAATGATGTTTTGGCTTGCTGAATTTGGCAAGTCACAGGGCCCTTTGCAAAGGTGAAAAATTGACTGGAAGTTAAGCATTGTATGTGGCTGCCAGATATTGCCAGCTCTTTTGTACCTGAAAGACTAGTTTCATTATCAGGACTATTTCACAAAACTGTGAACTTCAACCCAACCCAGTCTCAGCCAACCAATATAAACTGCTGTCAGCCCAGAATCCCCCCATTTGTTCC